TTCATGAAGTGTAGATTATGTCAATAAAATTTCAGCTTAAATTCGACCGGGAAGTCAATTTAATAAATTAATGAAAAGCACTACGCCAATATATATATAACACAGTGTTTTTCAATAATTTATTTAATTGACTTCCCGTTTGAATTTTGAGCTGAAATTTTGTGGACATAATCTACACTTCACGAAGATCATTCTCACAAATTTTCATAAAAAAACTCCACTGGGAACCACCTCAAATGGCGGCGGTCAGATGGCGCTTTCGGTCAGGAAGTCCAGAGGAGAACTTTTTTATATATACACGCATATGTATGTGTGCGTGCGTGCTATTTGAGAATAGAATGTTCATCAAGCAACCATTAGATACTCTGTGTTGCAAGAAGCTCTACCGGTAACATTTTCTACACATGTTTTACGTTGCATCCTAAAACTAGGCTTGACTAACTAAATCCATGAATTAACAGATAAAAAATCAGTAAAACCGCTAAGGCCAATAACTTTGGCTTCTCTGGCACAATAACATACCGGTGGAACACCAACGCCTCAAGTTTAAAGACAATAATATGAACAAACATATTTGTAGACAATTGCAAATACATAATTGACTTACAAGCAAAAGGGCAATTTGCTGATACCCTTTGTCGGTTGCAAGTTTTGCAGGTGTGTAGCCTTCCCTATCTTTTACTGTCAATTCTTGCTTCGTGCCAGCATGTAACAGCAAATTGCATGCCTCTAAATTTCCTCTTAATACAGCCCAATGCAAAGGAGTGCATCCTACAACAGTTTTAAAAAAAAATCTTAAACATTCTCTTTTGAAGATTGGTTCTATGATTTGATCCATTAACAAGTTATGGAGTACTAAATTATGTGAGTTACAAACATGCTTATTTAAAAAAAATGTAACAAGAGTATTCATGGAGCTATAGCAGATGTGTGAACTAAAAGTAAAAACAAAGTTCATGAAGATCTGGTTGTATGATTTGATCCATTAACAAGTTGAACAACTTATGGAATAGAGAGTACTAAACTATGTGGTATACCAAAATTGCTCAATTAAAAACCTATGCAACGAACAACAATATTCATGGAGCTACAACGAATGTGTACGCTAAAAAGTAAGAACAAAATTCGTGAAGAACTTAATAAGAGTGAAATGCAGAATTTCTCAAGAAAGATGTATAGGGAGAAGAAGAATGGCACAGGGGAGAAGCTTTCTATTTATAATCCTTTGATAACACACACACACCCATATTAAATCTAACATATTGACTAGCCCACTACCTATAAACAAGCCATTAACCAAATCCACTACATCTAATAACCAACCAACAACAACAAGAAGAACAATGAAATAAAAATAACAATCACAACAACAGCAATAATTCTAATAATTACTTCCGACTACAGTACTAGTTATTAAAAACCTAATGATAATAGTAATTAATACTAATAATAAATGTTTCACAATGTCGTGGGTCATCAGATAGAGTCTTTCATAATCTGTATGCAACTATTGTGATTTACTATAAACTGAAGTTAAATGGAGCACCTCTAAAGTGTACTATTCTATGAAAACATCAAAGTTGGGAAAATGTATTATAATTTGCAAGTCAGCAGGAATAATTAAACACTAGAATAAATTGTGGAAGCTTCCTCTTGTTAGTAACCTACTACTTCCAGCAAATTTTAACACCATTTTAGGGATACGCAAGACTTGAAACTGACCACTAGAATATCTAAACAGAAAAATAAAGAGCTAGCATACCATCTTTATCTTGTCTACCTTGGTAGGCATCCCTAAACAGCAGTAACTGAATGGTATCAGTAAATCCCTTATATGCAGCCCTGGTCAGAATTTGAAAATGAAGGGTATAAGGACGTATTTGATCAAGGAGCTTAATCAGTTCAGGACCAGAGAGATAGGTATCAATTAAGGATTTTCATCATGCAAGAATATCAATTCAATGACGGGGTTATTTCTATCAATTCAAGATTGAAAGATCAAAACTATAACCGAGGAAATGAGCGATTGCAACTTTCCCTCGAAGACTTTAAAAATCAAGATTTTGGATTCTTTTTTAGTTTTAAATATTTTTAATAACATGAAAAATTAAAATATTCTAAATTTTGCAAACAATAATGTAAACAAAGCATGCTCAATATATGACATAAGGGGAAATAAAGGTACCAGTGAAGAGGGCTTCTTCCATCATTATCCGGTACATCAAAGTCTGCTTGATACTTTGTAACTATGTGATAAATAAAAGCTGTTTGTCCACACTGTGCAGCTATGTGAACTGCTTGTAGTTTGCACAGAGCAGTAAAAAAACACGATGGTTTGAAATCCAAATCATCACTCAAAGCAGTAACATCTGAAATATGATCAAGAGAAACTTACTAACTTACCCGGTAGCCATTAGAATCAGCCACCTCGACCTGTGCCCCATTCTGCAACAATACATCTGCAGCCGCAACCGAACCACGCACAGCAGACCAATGCAATGCCGTCTCCCCTGTATTATCATTAGCATGCACATTTCCTCCATGCTATAACAAAACACAGGAAGTTTGAGCTATTAAAGCATAAAAACTAAGGGTTTCACTTCGTTCAACCTGCAGCTAACGTCTTATAAAGAATAAGGATACCTCAATGATGTACTGCACAATATCGGCGAAGTTGTTAAGCGCAGCCCACTGAAGGGGATAGTAGCCATTTTCATCCGGATGAGCTAGAGAAACGCCGTCGTTCTCAACGAACTTGCGGAGCTTCTGGAAGTCTCCATAAGCAGAAGCAGTGTGTACATCGACCACGACTACTTGGTTAGGGTTTTGTTGACCAGTAGAGCTCTTCTGATCTTTGGCGTCCGGCACGAATTCGATTTCAGAAGCCATTTCTTCAGCTTGTAAATATAGTAACGCCTTCGCTTGGAGTTTTGTTGACTTATTATTAACTGCAATCAGCTTAGAGTCTGAGTCTCCGATGCATCGGAAAACCAGGCGATTGTTGACTCTCAGGGGAAGGGTAGAAAAACAAGTAAAAAAAAAACCACCGGTGATTAGCTTCCTAGATTTTACTGCATTGGAAACATTTTCAACTGTGAGACTTTGTGTATTCACTACAGTATTATTCAAAGAAATAAAGTCAACTGTAGACTTTTTTGCCTATAAAAAGTAAAAACATGAGTAGAAAAATACCTTGGCACACCACTAACTTAATTTTGTCAATCCCTCAGAGTTCACCCTAAATATGTCAACTCTCCTTCGATATAATTATTTCCATCTTTTGGGATATTTCAAAAATCCTTTTCATTTATCTTTTTTGAAGAGTTTTGTGTGACTAATATTCATTTAATTAAAGGATGGGGTCATCATTTGTCCCGCCGGGATGGCGATGAGAAGGTTGATGTGGTTGGGTTTGCAACTCAGATTGCTGCCCCACCAATTGGACGAGAGGATAAAGTCATTTGCATGTACTGCAAAAAGCAAGGGCTCAGAGCAGACAACTACTTTAAAAGGACCGAACAATATCCGGACTGGTGGTACGACAACGCGGGAAGAGGATGAGGAACTCGCAGCCGTGGTGAAGTCGGGAGAGGACGTGGCCGAGCTGTTGCTAATGTGGTGACGAGAACAGATGCTAAAGCTCGAGCTCATACGTTTTCCACTGACCAATGAAAAAAATCCTAGACCTCATGGAACAGTGTAAGACATCTCCACATGAAAAGGTTTAAGATAAGAATGCTGAAATAACATGGATTTTAGATTCCGGAGCATCCGTTCACATTACCGAAAATGAACACTTGTTGATGAAACAACAACACTTAGCTCATTTGTGTTATTTTAAAACTGTGATGTTACTTTCGCCCGAAGCAAGGGCAAGGTGCAGCTAAGCCATGGAATTAATTAAACTTAATAATGTGTTGTTGGTACATGGTTTGTCATGTAATTTAATATCGGTAGGACAATTGATTGATGAGCGAAAATGCGGCATAATATTTACTAATGATGTTTGTGTGATACATGACTTACTTCTGAGGACGCCGATCGGAGGAGTGAGAAACGTGGTGGAGTTTACTATTTTCATAGCCCAGATCCAGTTTGTGTTTGTTCAATAAAAGGGAAGAACACAAGCAGTTTATGGCATTCTCGATTAGGACACTCATCAGAGAAAGTTTTTCGTTCTGCTTTTACTTTCAATAAATCCTTGTTGCCAGTTGATTTGAATAAAAGTTGTGACACTTGTCTGCGTGGTAAAAAGACTCGTGACATTTTTCACATTAGTAATTCCAGAGCATTTGAAATATTTGAAATGATTCACTGTGATGTGTGGGGTCCTTATCATTTTTCAGTGTCATATGGTGCAAGATATTTTTTTACTGTTGATGATGACTTTTCACGGGCTGTCTGGGCTTATTTAATGCGGGAGAAGAGTGAAGTTTCAAATATTCTTAAACAATTGATTCTGATGGTAGGACTCCAATTTGATAAAAGGGTGAAAATTGTTACGAGTAATAATGGGACAAAATTTCAATGTTTAAAATTATATTTTTGGATATTGGAAATCTATTTCACATCACTTGTGTCTATTATCCACAACTGTAACAATACGTGAGATTAATTTAAATGGATTAACGGTACTACTCATATCAATAAGGTGCATCTTCTTTTAAGGGAGCTCATTAGTCAAGAACTCCAAGTTAAGCGTGTTTGCACGGGAGTAGTCTTGAGATAGGTGACCCCCCCCCCCCCCCCCCCCGAGAAGTTTCTCATGATTTGTTGGATATAGGACAGACACTTAACAGGAGAAGATTCTGGGATATGATTGAGATTGAATTGACTTATGGCGCAACGAGGACGTTGATAATTGTTTTATTTTTTCATTTTTATCCAATTTTTAAAAAATATACCAATTGTTTTTATGATCTTTCATATCATACTAATATTGCATATGTAGAATTTAAAAAAAAAATTGCTAAAAAATAGATTTTTTTTAAAGTTTTTATTATATATTGATACCAGTGAAAACAGTTTACTAAATCTGATATACTTTTTTATAAAAATTAAACTATAAATAGAAAAACAATAACAACTTTTTCTAAACATAGAATGTGAGCCAAAGGAAGAGAGGGGGTGATATATGTTCACCCACTTTGGAGTGGTGAACAAAATTTGACTCGCACATGTTGGAAGTGTGTACATGTTGGAACCCCACCGTATAAGTAGCAAAAACAGTTATGAATACGTAGTTAACGTTTTTTATCATCCCCTTCTCTCCGGCCTCTTTTTCTACAGCTGGTTTTATCTCTCCCGTTTTTCGCTTCCATCTTCTCCAACAGCCCTTCATCGTCTTCTCCATCTTCTTGAATGGAGTTAAGCTGGATTGAGAAATGCGAAGTTAGTGATAAGGTAATTTGTTTGAGTAAGACATTGACAATGCTACTCACACGTCGGTGGTTGCAGTGGAAGGAAATTCAATGAACGACTATATATAGATGTCTTCATTTTTTATTTGTACAAACTCAACATGAAAAATATTTCTGAATGCAAATTCAACTTCTAAATGCAATGCTTGTGTTAGTTGTGAAGAAGAAGATGATTTTCACACTTCAAATACCCGCACAAGAAATGTCTGTGGTCATACAACTTCATTGCTGGTATGTGTTGAAAAAGTTGATGACGAGTTGGGTAGCGGTTTATGTTGTTGTGATAAAAGTGGATGTATATATACGGTGTTATTTGTTCATTTACATACAACATGGACAAGTACTTAAGATATACTACCTCCGTCCCAAATTGATTTGCAAAATTGACTTTTCTTGGTCAAACAGTTTCATTTTATACACTTAATTAGGATGTCAATTTTTAATTATATTCTAATTTGGAGTTTACAACTTTGAAGAGATTTTAATGAAGTTTCTGAATATATAAATTTTAATTGTTAAAAATTGAATTAATTATGGATAACGAGCATTGACTTTTATTATTGGTTGACCAAAAAATGTTGATTTTGCAAAACAATTTGGGACGGAGGGAGTACATACTATTGTTTGCATGGCGGGAATATCTATCTCTATATAAAAAGAGGTGGAATTTTGGATGAATTTTCCGCTCAAAACTGTCACTTTCATGGATTAACGTTGGGCCAGATCAAATAGGTGAAATGGGCCGGAGGTTAGCAATGCCCTCGGGTTAATTTTTTTTATGGCTAATATTAATTGCTATTTTGATGGCTAATGTGGAATATGGACAGTTTTCCTTTCGCATTGCATCAATCATTTTAGCATTCACACTTGTGTCCCATCTAACATTGATGTTGACTATTCATGTAAAGGTCACCATAATGATTTGTCCCATCAATGCATGCTGGTACTTATCCAAATTGCATTCTAAGGCTGTCATACACGGTTGTCATTTGAACCCTCTAGGATGGAAGACGATGGTTGCGTGTTAATTACTCTTGAAATAAAGCAGTCCATATATCTTTATTACATGCTTCTTGCGCAGTGTTATGCATAGATATCTATCTTCTCATTGTGTGTGTGTGTGTTGGAAACTCAAGAGGATTGCCCATTTCATTTCATGAAGCTAGCACCGCAGGGCACCCCAGGACATCACAGGTAGCGATTTGGCCGGAGAAGCAGAGCATCGAGCGAATCGACGGCGAACAGTATGGGCTGTATGGCGTATAAAAGGACATAAACCCCTACCGACCTTTGACCCAGCAAGACGGCTTCGACAAGGTGTCTCAACAACAATTTTTCCCGATTTTGGAGACGGGGACAACAGACTTTGGAGCGACTGAGGCGGGTGGCCAGCATATCAATGGGGCGGAGGGAAAACCAACAAAATCAAAGGCATGGTGGCAGTTCCGAGGAGGAGGAGGCGGCGGCCGGCGGTAGCTACTGTTGGCTGGAGCTTTCAACAAGATCTATTGCTCATCCTGACAGGTTTGAACTTGCTCATTCTTCCATTAACATTATTCACAAATCTGATACGAAACATTGAATAGTGCATGTTATGTGTTTGATCTTTAGAAGGTAATTTAGGGTAGGAATAATGTGTTGTAAATACTTCTCGGAATGCTAATGTTTTTTATTTTTCCTCATGTGAACTACTGCTATGCTTCTTTCTTCATGTGAATAGGACAGAAGTATGTTTTATTGTATAAAATGAATTTGTGTGCTTATCGCAGGAGAAAGTCAAGACTTGATTATAATACTCCCTCCGTCCCAAAAACAACTTTCCACTTTCCTTAAATGGATGTCCCAAAATTAACTTCACACCTCAATACTTTCCTTATTTGGCAAATTATCTACATCAAAAAAGTGATAAACAGTGCCAAACAGTGTCAAACAGTGTTTAAACAGTGCCAAACAGTGTTTAAACAGTGCAAAACAGTGCACTCTACAGTAAAGTCAAATTTATTTTCAAAAAGTGTGTGAAAGTCAAACCGGGAGGTTGTTTTCGGGACGGAGGGAGTATAAATAAGAGTATGTTCTTTCTTCCCGTGTGAAGCTAATTCACCCTATTGAATAGCAGGACTTATTCAAGACTGAAGAACCTAAGCTGGGAGTTTGTATATTGAAAGATCTTGAAGATACTTGATGGAATACATAGCCATTTGAATTACTCTCTATTTTAGGGATTATTTTATTGTCACTTTTGACATACCAATGTTCAAATTTTCCATTTTTGTTACCCTACTTAAAGTTCTGGTAGTTTGATTTGAAAATTGTAAAATTTAGTGCTCAATTGAATACCATTACTCCATTTTATTTCACTTTGATCATTACAGGTTAGTGTTTGTGATATGTTATGTTTAGTCGGTTTTGCTATTTTACTCCATCCTGTAAGGCTTTAAATGTGAAATGAAAGTTTAACTGATCTCTCGACAAATATTTGATCAAAGATGGCAACAATATGAATCAGCACACTTATTATTAAGAAGTGGAATAAAGTGGAAATGTATGGTTGTAGTTGTATAAGAAAAAAAGTCAAATGAATGTGAGTGACACAAATTGTTTAAAAGGGGAAAGTCAGAAGTATTTTTAGAAATGACTCAAAAAGGAAAGTGGAAAGTATTTTGAACTAGGGAGTAAAAAAATAGTAGACCATAATTCATTATTTCAAATGGCATGTTATGAAAAAACTAGAGTATTTACATTGTAAATAATTACGGCAAGTAAAGTTTATAAGTAACATGTCGAAAAATATATTTCTGTGGAGAATTATGTAGCATTATTAGTTGTTTCAAATGTACGAAAATTAACTTGGATTGGTTGTGTGAAAATTAAATATAAAAAAGAAATTACTGTAGAATGTTTGTGATTTAAAGTTTAGTAATTTAACATTCCAGAAAGATGAAAAGTACACATCATATTTATAAAAAATTAAAGTTCCACTTTACCTAAATTTGCTAATAAGTTTTGTTGGAAATTGAGAAATTGGGTACGGTTTAATTTATAAAAAATTGAAGTTCCACTTTACGAAGTACTATTGAAGCACTATTGAAGTATTTACTAATTACGAAGTACTATTGAAGTGTTGAGATATTCGATCACAAGTTCACAACCTGTAACTTAATTAGTATACTCCTCCCTAAATCAATATGGAAATGGTTATAAATATATGCTTCACTCATTGTAATAATTAAGAAATCATTTGTCAATTTTCACCAAACACGCAATTTTTTATTTCATGCGCGAATTGTGTAATAATACAAAAAGTAAGTTAGAGTTACTTTTTTGACTATATTGACTGAGGTTCTATAATCATTTTAGTTATTTTTCATATAATTATTTCTCTATTTTATAGGCGAATTTGTTTTTCTTAAATTAACATAATAAGTAAATCAGCCATTTCAATCATAAGTTCATAAATTTCAGCAGAATCAATCGAGTTAATCAATTTTAGTGTTCCCAAATGATTCAATCAATCGTACTTCTTATAAAATTTTGCATTACATTTTGAAATACATTTACACGTTTTCATTCCACATCTCTCAAATATCATTAACCAAAACTAATTATAGTGTATGATTTTTGTACCGTGCATCGCACGGGTGAAAATCTAGTTTCAGTGTAATATGAAGTTGACACCACAAATGAAGCCAAGAGACAACTCGAAATTAATGATATTACGGGAATATCACTTCATATAAGTTTCAACTCGGCCATCGTTGAAGACGGTGAATTTGATCACCTTCCATCAATTGAAAATAATTATTGAGAATTGAGAACTACGATAGTATATAGATAATTTGAGAAGTTAGGTAAGAAAGCGGTGACGCAATCACAAGTCAAGTATTTTTTCATTTAGATTTGATTTAGATGAGGAGTCACGGTTACGAAATATTTTTTTGGGGTGACAATCGATGTCGATACGCTTATAAAGATTTTAGAGGTATCATCACATTTGACATAACTCGTCTTACAAATCGATATGACGTGTCATTTGCCCCTTTGTGGAGTAAATCACCACAAACAAACAATTGCTAGACAGTGGATTAATCTCAAGTGAAGATGCACAAACATTTGTATAGCTTTTTACATCTTGGCTTGATTGTATGGATGGGTTGTGCTCCGAATGAAATTATGACTTATCAAGATCACGCAATGAAAAATGTTATCCAAATTGTATTCCCAAATTTTAATTTACTCTTATGGACACTATTGCTAGTACAAATTATATTTATATACACTCTAAGTATGGAGAAGTCTAACAATTAACTACTTTTATAAAATGTATGAATGTGTATAAGTCGATCTATATAGTTTATATAATGTGTAAATGTATTATAAGTAATATATAATATAATGTTTATACTAGTTATATTAATATTAGTTAAACTAGTTAATTGTTACACTGCGTAAAAAAACTAGTTAATTTTTACATTTGTCATATTAATATTAGTTAAACTAGTTAATTGTTACCTTTCTCATATTAATATTAGTTAATTGTTACATTTCTCATTAAAGTATTAATTAGATGTAGTTCGATTTTTTTTTTTCAAGGAAAACAAATTGTTACATTTGATATACTCATATTTTAGTTCGAATTTGCTATAGTTTTCTTAGTCACATTTTATTATTACTATTGTACTCATATAAAATATTTGATATCATTTAATATTTGTTCAATTTTAAAGATGGACCGTGGTAGACATTCTGTAGATATGAGTAATCTCCAACGCAACCGCAAGAGGGAGATTGCGGCGACTCGTCCTACTTCACGCAAAGGCAAAGGTAAAGCGCGGGCCGAGTCTTCTTTTCAAAGTCAAGATGATTTTGAAACGGATTACCAATGGAGAGATGATATGGTGATGTCCGACGAGCAACTACAAAACCTATTGTCCCAAAATGATCCACGCGTTGCACAAGAACAACAATTCCCGACAACCATTGATGAAGAGGAGCTCGAGGATGACGATGCGGAGGAGGACGAGGGGGGCGACGGGACTCACGGCACCCCGGATGATGAGCAAGAGTTGGAGGATGTACGAGGGCGGTTTATCCCAAATTGGTAAGAAATCTAAATCTCCTATTATTGAAAACAATTTTACAAAAATGAAAGACAAAAATACCGATAAATGGTACGCAAGTTGCAATCATTGCAACAAAGAGTATAACTTGGGAACTTCTGACGGATACGGGAGTCTGACAAGGCATCTTAAGTCCGCCCACTT